TTGAAAAAAACCAATCCGATTTAGGAACGCTCAATACAGTGGCAGAAAATCAGAACCGTATGGGTCACATAAACAGGATTTGGTCCACCTTGGTCTGTAGTGTGAATGTAGTCTTTGTTCACCAATATTTATTTACTGTCACAGTGACTTATCCCTTCCCCAACTGGTCAGTACAGTGCACAGTAGTCAGGATTTGGACCTGTTTTTACTGGAAGGCTTTGCAGCGTAGACACTTCCTCCCTTTGACTCAAGCTTCTCCTTCACCTATGAGAGAAATGACCCATTTCTTTCCCTTTAGATCTATCAGGAGACGGCCACGCCCCCTGATCTTAAAGGGACAGACATGACAACAACAACAAAAAAAAAACTGTACTCTATTTACAGATCAGCAAAAAAAACAAAAAAAACTCTACCCTATTTACAGACTATTAATTTGATATGAGGAGGAGAAGGAGGGAGGAGAAGGAGGCTGGAGGCTGCTCTGGTGTGAGAGGTTGGTGGGCTGAGGAGCAGTGAAGAGTCATGACCTGCAGCGATGTGACACAGTTGACAGTGATGGGACTTTTGACCTGCGGTTCATATTTACTTGTACCAACAAACTGTAAAGAAAAAAAAAGAAATGAGAATATTGTTCGAAATCAAAAAACTAAAAATGCTGTTATAAAAAGTACTGCTTTGTTTCCATTTAACCACAGATATATTATAAAAAGGAACGGAGTTATTAGTAGAAGTTATTTCTTATCATTATAATATATAAAAGATTTTTTTTACTTTTTCTGGATATTTGTCCAGATTAATGACCCCGTAATCTGATTCAGTCCAAATGAAAACGGAAGAAATGAGAATATTGTTGAAATCAAAAAACTAAAAATGCGAAAAGAGATTTTCTGGATATTTGTCCAAATTAATGAGCCCATAATCTGATTCAGTCCAAATGAAAACGGGTGAGAAACACTGACATCTACAAGATATTACTGCTCTATATGATTATTCATGACTAATCCCTAGCTAACCTGTGATATATATATATATGTATATATATATATATATATAGTGCATATTTAATTTGGTCTATTTTTTAACCTAAAAACATATTTAAAAAAAAAAAAACAATTTGGAGGACATTGTGATTTGACCAACAAACGTCCCAGTCTATATTTAGATGTTTCTGTGTTACAGACATCTCTATGGAAATACAGTAGGACGGACAGAGGAGTCATGCGCTGCAGAGGAGAGAAAGAGACGGGGGGTGGGGAGGGGCGGGGGAGGAGGTCTGCTGCCTCTGACGCAGCACTATTCTTACTCCACACAGAAGACCATGGAGAGGACTCTGATCAGACGAGCGTCCAACGCTGCAGCACAGATTTACTGTAACCATGGACACACAGGATACTGCTTTATATACGTGTGTGTATTGTGTACACACCTCTGCAGATACTGCTCGGACACCGATCCCACGCCGGTGTGTGTGTGTGCACTGTGCACGCTCACTTTTCCCACCGATTCAGTGAACACTGAACTGGTTTTACTTAAAAGCAGCTGTTCTAAAGAGAAGAGAACCAGAACCTGGTCCTAATGTAGCAGAACTTCATTGGTTTGGCTTTGATTAGAGCAAATCTAGTACAAGAGGAGGAGTACTTTTTAAGCTAAACAAATATGATCAAATATTGAACCAATGATCATCTAGTTTTGAAGCACGTCCACCACCGTGTGGTGCCATATTATATTTAACTGGGCCTGTAATGGGCTTTACCTTTTCGACATACCAAGAACCCCCACAGGTTCAGTCAGACCTGAAGTACCAAGTACGATTGAGCTAACAATTAACACCAGGATCGTTGGCATCTTTTCATCAGAATATCCCAGAATAAGAAGGAAAAGGAAACAATAAAAAAATTACAGTGAACAAAATGCTGCTACGTAATTGGCTAACAGTAAAAAATCCAAACGCAAATCAGCTGGAAGGAAGAATGCCATGTATGGTATAAGAATATATTTAGTAATGATATATTTAGTATGTATAGATAGATGCTGGTATAGTGGGAGGAGTGCACTGATCCAGTTAAATGATAATATAATCCATCCATAAACATATCTGGATGTTTCAGTCTCAGATTTGTCCAAGTAAATACAGTGCAGTACTGAGGTCCTGGTACTGTCCTGAGGTTCCATCTAGACCAGGGCTGTCAAACTCATTTTCACCGGGGGCCACACCAGCAATACAGTTCCCCTTGAAGGTCCGGTTGTAAATGGAAGACTGTACAGAGCAGGGGTCCCCAACCTCTGGTCCGCAAACCAGTACCAGACCATAGGTCATTTGGTACCACAGTGGCACACAATAAAAAAATATACTTAATTTTTACTAATTTACTTCATTCAAAGAAAGTCCAGTCTTATCTATTTACTTTCTTTATTTAAAGATTTTAAAATAATAGGTCATTCAGACTCTGATACTAACAAAATAGAAGTCTAAAAGATGTTTTATTTTGAAAATGTAATG